AACGGGTGAGGAACGGGTGAGGAACGGGTGAGGAATGGGTGAGTAACGGGTGAGGAATGAGTGAGTAACGAGTGAGGAACGGGTGAGGAACAGGTGAGTAAAGGGTGAGGAAAAGGCGAGGGGAGAGGGAATTCCCTGCGGGATTTGGGGATCCCTTTGGGAATTCCCTGCGGGATTTGGGGATCCCTTTGGGAATTCCCTGCGGGATTTGGGGATCCAAACAATCCAAGGAAGGACGAAAACCTTCGGGAACTCCAAGGAATTTGAGCGGAAATCCCAAAATCCGAGATCCCAAAAGCGCTGTGGGATTTTCCCGTGCCGGGAGGGAAAGGAATCCCAGAGGGAGCCGGGCCGGGATCGGAATTCCGGGAATTCCGGGAATTCTGACGCCACCGAGGAGGCCCCAAAATCCCCAAATCTGGGATCAGAATTCTGGGAATTGGGGAGCAAATTCCCGGTTTTTGGGTCACGCGGCTGATCCCGGGAAAGGGACGGGGATAAATGAGATTGGGAATATGCAAATGAAGGATTTGCATCTCATTAGCGGCGGGGGGAGGGGATTCCCGGGAAAAGGCGCCCCGGGAATTGGGAATTCCCTTCCTGGGATCCCCGGGATTTGGGGTCTCCCGAGGAGGATTTGGGATCTGCCGGGAAAGCCCCAAAATTTGGGATTCGGGATCCACCTGGGAATGCCCCGAGCTGGGATTGGGGATCCCCTGGGGACCCTCCCAGTTTAATCCCAGTTCAATCCCAGTCCATCCCAGTTCAATCCCAGCCCATCCCAGTTTAATCCCAGTTCAATCCCAGTTCATCCCAGTTCAATCCCAGTCCATCCCAGTCCATCCCAGTCCATCCCAGTTCAATCCCAGTCCATCCCAGTTCAATCCCAGTCCATCCCAGTCCCTCCCAGTCCATCCCAGTTCAATCCCAGTTCAATCCCAGTCCCTCCCAGTTTATCCCAGTTCAATCCCAGTCCATCCCAGTCCATCCCAGTCCCCCCCACTTCTCACCGGGCGCCGCCGCCGCCCCCGGAGCCTTTTCCGGCCGCGCTCGCGCGCGATGACGTCACTTCCGGAAAGGGGGCGGGGCCAGGCCGGGAACTGGGCGGGTCTGGGCGGGGATTGGGGAGGGACTTTAAAAGGGGAATTTTTGGGGGAGGGGGATTCCAAAATTGGGGTGTTCTGCCCCAAAAATCAGCTGCGGACAGGGCTGGGATTGGGGAATTCGGGATCACATCAAGAAAAGGGGAATTCCGGGATTTTTCCCCCAAAAATCAGCTCCTGACCAGGGTGGGATTCCAGGATTAGGGTCACCCCCCAAAAAAAGGAAATTCCGGGATTTCCCCGCCCAAAATCAGCTCCGGACAGGGCTGGGATTGGGGAATTTGGGGCCATCCCAAAAATAACGGGATCCCACCCCAAAAAATGGGGGATTTTTGCCCCAAAACCGCATTTCTAAAAAGGGAATTTTCAGGAGAGAGTGGTTCCAAAATTGGGGTGTTCCGCCCCAAAAAGCAGCTCCGGGCAGGGCAGGGATTGGGGAATTTGGGATCACGCCCAAAAAAGGGGAATTCCAGGTTTTTCCCCAAAAAAATCAGCTCCTGATCAGGGTGGGATTCCAGGATTTGGGATCACATCAAGAAAAGGGAATTACGGGTTTTTTCCCCCCAAAATCAGCTCCTGACCAGGGTGGGATTCCAGGATTTGGGATCACCCCCCAAAAAAGGGGAATTCCGGGATTTTTCCCCCAAAAATCAGCTAGCGGCAGGGCAGGGATTGGGGAATTTGGGATCACCCCCCAAAAAAGGGGAATTCCGGGATTTTTCCCCCAAAAATCAGCTCCTGACCAGGGTGAGATTCCAGGATTTGGGATCACCCCCCAAAAAAGGGAATTCCGGGATTTTCCCAAAAAAATCAGCTCCGGACAGGGCTGGGATTGGGGAATTTGGGGCCATCCCAAAAATAACGGGATCCCACCCCAAAAAATCGGGGATTTTCTCCCCAAAACCGCATTTCTAGAAAGGGAATTTTAAAGAGGGATTGATTCGAAAATTGGGGTGTTCTGCCCCAAAAATCAGCTGTGGACTGGGCTGGGATTGGGGAATTTGGGGTCACCCCCCAAAAAAAGCGAATTCCGGGTTTTTTTGCCCCAAAACTGCGATCCCGACGAGGGTGGGATTCGAACCCACGCGTGCAGAGCACAATGGATTAGCAGTCCATCGCCTTAACCACTCGGCCACCTCGTCCGCGGCTGCGCGGCCGCGCCCGGCTGCCAAGGGGAGCGCTTGGGGGGCGTGGCCAGCGGTAGGGGGCGTGGCCAGAGCGAGGGGGCGTGGCCTGGGCGGGGCTCCAGCTCCAGAACCCGCGGGTTCGAATCCCGGCAGCGCCAAATCGCGGGAGGGGGAGAAATTCGGGAGGGTTGGAGGGGGAGGGGGGGGTGTGTTCTGCCCCTCCCCCACCCTCAACCGAACCCCCTTTTCACGCCGGTTCCCCCAAATTTCCTTTTTTTCGGGTTTTTTATTCCCCTGGTTTTCCAGGTTTTTTTTGATTCTCCGCTTTTCTCTCGATTTCCGCGTTTTTCCCTCCGTTTTCTCTTCTTTTTTCCCAATTTTCTCCTTTTTTCCCATTTTTTCCCCTTTTTCCCACACATCTCTCCTTTCTCCCCTATTTTTTCTCTCAATTTTCTCCTTTTACCCCTAATTTTCTCTATTTCTCCTCAATTTTCTCAATTTTCCCCCAATTTTCTCTTTTTTAACCAGTTTTTTTCCTTTTCCCCCAATTTTCTCCTTACTCCTCATTCTCTCTATTTTTTACCAATTTTCTCCTTTTTTTCCCCCAATTTTCTCTTTTTTAACATAATTTTTCCCCCCTTTGCCCAATTTTCTCATTTTCCCCCCAATTTTCTCCTTTCTCCCCATTTTCTCCATTTTTTCCCAATTTTCTCCTTCTTTTTCCAATTTTTTTTCATTTTTCCCCAATTACTATTTTTTAAACAATTTTTTTTCCCCTTTTCCCACACATTTCTCCTTTCTCCCCTATTTTTTCCCCAATTTTCTCCTTTTTTTCCCCATTTTTCTTTTTTTAACCAAATTATTTTCCTTTTTACCCAATTTTCTCATTTTCCCCCCAATTTCCTCCCTTTTTTTACCCAATTTTCTAATTTTCCCCCCAATTTTTTCCTTTTTCCTCCAATTTTCTCCTTTCTCCCAATTTTCTCTATTTTTTCCCCAATTTTTCTCTTTGTTTTTTCCCAATTTTTAATTTTTTTACTCAATTTTCTCTTTTTTAACCAAATTATTTTCCTTTTTTTCCCCAATTTTCTCCTTTCCCACCATATTTCTCTTTTAATTTTTTCCAATTTTTTCCTTTTATTTCTCCCAGTTTTTTCCCCTTCCCCCAAAATTTTCTGTTTTTAATTTTCCCCAATTTTCTCCTTTTTTTTTTCCCAGTTTTTTCCCCTCCCCCAAAAATTTTTTTTTTTAAATTTCCCCAAATTTTCTCCTTTTTTTTTTTCCCAGTTTTCCCCCATTTTCCTCCTTTTATTTTCCCAATTTTCTCTCTTTTCCCCCTGAAATTTCTTTTTTTTTCCCTCCAACTCCCCCCTCATTTTTCCCCTCAAAAAAAATTCTGATTTTTTTCTTCCAGTTCTTCTCTTTTCCCCTCATTTTTTCCCTTTCCCCCCCACTTTTCCTCCTTTTTTCCCTCTCCTGCATCCCGGAATTTCCTAAATCCTCCCCTCCCATCCAGAACTTTTTAATAAAAATAAAGAAAAGATTTAAAAAAATGTAAAAGAAAAAAAAAAAACAGCGAAAAAGGTGAAAAACCGGGGGAAAAAAAAGGAAAAAAATCCTAAAAAAAACCCTCAAAAATAAATTTAAAATAAGAAAATTAAATTTCAAAAATGGGAAAAAAAATCAAAATAAAAAAGCGGCGCCATCCAGGGAAGAAAAAACAAGAATTTTTAGTAGCGATGACGTCATTGGAGGTTAATTAGGAGAAAATTAATGAGGTTTTAAAGGAGCAGCAGAGTGGCGCAGCGGGAGCGTGCTGGGCCCATAACCCAGAGGTCGATGGATCGAAACCATCCTCTGCTAAATCCCATTTTTCCCGATTTTTTTCCTATTTCCCCCTCAATTTATCCCTTTAATTTCATTTTTCCCTCTTTTTCTCCTATTTCCCCTCAATTTATCCCTTTAATTTCATTTTCCCCCTCAATTTATCCCTTTAATTTCATTTTCCCCTCAATTTTTCCCATTTTCCCCTCAATTTATCCCTTTAATTTCATTTTCCCTCTTATTTTCCGATTTTCCCCTCAATTTATCCCTTTAATTTCATTTTTCCCCTCAATTTATCCCTTTAATTTCATTTTTTCCTCTCATTTTTTCCCATTTTCCCCTCAATTTATCCCTTTAATTTCATTTCCCCCTCAATTTATCCCTTTAATTTCATTTCCCCCTCTTTTTTTCCTATTTCCCCTTCAATTTATCCCTTTATTTCATTTTTCCCCTCAATTTATCCCTTAATTTCATTTTCCCCTCTTTTTTTCCTATTTCCCCCTCAATTTATCCCTTTATTTTATTTTTCCCCTCAATTTATCCCTTTAATTTCATTTTTCCCCTCTTTTTTATCCCTTTAATTTCATTTTTCCCCTCAATTTACCCCTTTAATTTCATTTTCCCCTCAATTTACCCCTTTAATTTCATTTTTTCCTCTCATTTTTTCCCATTTTCCCCTCAATTTATCCCTTTAATTTCATTTTTCCCCTCAATTTATCCCTTAATTTCATTTTTCCCCTCTTTTTTTCCTATTTCCCCCTCAATTTATCCCTTTATTTTATTTTTCCCCTCAATTTATCCCTTTAATTTCATTTTTCCCCTCATTTTTTCCCATTTTCCCCTTATTTTATCCCAGTTTTTCTCTAAATTTCTACATTTCCCCCCTCAGTTTTCCCGGTTTCCCCCTCAATTTTTCCATTTAATTTCATTTTCCCTCTTTTTTCCCCATTTTCCCCTCAATTTTCCCATTTAATTTCAGGGATTTTCCCGCTCATTTTTCCCATTTCTTCTCATTTTCCCCCCTTTTCCTTCGTTTTTCCCAAATTTTTCCTCTTTTTCCCTGAATTTTCCCATTTTCACCCAAGTTTTTCCCTCAATTTTCCCCTTTTAAACTCAATTCTCCCCTTTCTTCCCCTCCATTTTCCCATTTTCCCTCAATTTTCCCTTTTTTCCCTCATTTTTCCCAAATTTCCCCTCAATTTTCCCCCTTTTCCACCCCAAATTTTCGATTTTCCCCCTCAAATTTTAGGTTTTCCCCCTCAATTTTCCCATTTTTCCCTCAATTTTCCCATTTTTCCCCTCAATTTTCCCATTTTTCCCCTCAATTTTCCCATTTTTCCCTCTTTTCCCCTCATTTTTTTTCCATTGAAATTCGGGGTTTTTTTCGGCGGGAAAAGGAAAAAAAAATGAGCTTTAAAAAAAAAAAAGGCGGGAAAGGCAAAAAAATGGCGGGAAAGGCAAAAAAAAGGCGGGAAAGGCAAAAAAAAGGCGGGAAAGGCAAAAAAAAGGCGGAAAAATGTAAAAAAATTTGG